GCTGAACATATTCTCTTTTTCAGATAAATTTACTCGTTTCGGTCACATTAGGAGTGCAGGTATACTTGACTTCTACAGTATATTTAGGTTTCAAATGAAAGTGAACGAACAAAGTAAGGGAGTGGCCATGAGGTTATCGACCTATGAATATAAACCCAGTTGTCTCATGAATCATGAAGGAAGATGACGAAAGCCAATCGTCAGATCATACACTTACGAAGACCACCATCCCGTTACAAGGTCTCATCACGGATTTCCTAAACACAGTTCTTGTGTACCTTGTCACTTTGACTTTTGCCACAGGGTGTGGGGAGGGAGCGCTTGATAACGGAAGCTTTGATTATCGAACCAACTGCAAATACGTGTTATTGGGAATGATTCAACACCTGTCCACCCAGATATCTGGAAAATTCTACTACCCCAATGACGACAAATAGGAGAGGACAAAGAAAACTATAAAACTCAAGTTTCGAAGTCGTGTGATTATAATTGATGATATGATTATGAACAATAAGTGAATTGTGTTCAAAACTTTGTCATCCAGTAAATACTAATACTGTTTCTGTGACCGTGTGATACATCTAATAAACGGACTAAGATGGAATTATATTATACATTATATTTCAGAGAATACGTATCAATTCTTTTCTTAAAACGGTGACAGTTAGTTATATGCGCATTTAACACATTGCTCTTCGTTGGTATTCTGCTGTCGCCACACTGTAATCCTCGATTCGGAAGTAACGGGTTTCATTTTGTTTCAGAAACCTGAAAACCAGGAAAACAGAGAGAAGCCGACTAATAAACCTTCATTTATATACATAAACCAGTGAAATAATTAGAAGCGAATCCTTCTATACAGTAATTTCAATAAACAAATACTCAACATTGGGTTCTTTTTGGTTGTGGATCGCATTAGAATCCGAGAAATTACTTTCTCTCCCGTATTCAGTCTGTCAACTAGAATATACTTCTTTACCAGTAAATTCTACGGTATCAAATGACAGAAATATATATATTAAATATTCCCATAGGAAAATTTAGATCAACACATTTAAGCGAACAATATTGTTGTTTCCAATTAGATTTCATCAGGTTTAACTCTAATATACACACATAACTTTACAAATAAGAATTCAAATATAAACCAATCATGGTGTTTTTCTGTAGGATAATAAGATGGTGATTATAAATTGTGCAATTTGTCATAATAATAATAGTTTTATCAATCATAAGGATGAAAAGTGAGGCAATCTGTGATAACACGAATAACGAGAAACAGCACGATTAAACAAAAATTGTTCAGGTGGAAGTAGTCGATAAAGGCTGGTAAAAACAAATTAACCGATTACGTAATGCTAGATTGTAAGGGAAGTAAACGAGACACGTTTTTAATGAAAATGTGATAAGATTAAGGGATGATAACATGGGTTGAAAATATAAGTAAGGGGTGGTGGAGAAGTTTATTTTTATTTATTTATTTAAATGCATAAAAAAACTTTGTACAATATCCACCAAGAAAGATGCGCCACACAATAATAGTAAAACAACATAGATCAAAAAAAGGAAGGAAGGAAAAGAAAATATATAAGTAGAGAACGGATAAAGAACTTCATCTGGAAGGAAAACAATCATGCTTAACAAGTTCAAACAGTGTTCGTTAGCTATCATCGGGAAGGGAAGAAAGAAGGAAATCGCAACACATTAGCCACTGATTATGATTCTTGGCCATATCCGATAACGTTTCGAGCCATCGATTTGAGCTATCTCTCGGACCCCAACCAGGGAGTCGTGACACACCAACCGATGCTAATCTAGCAAAAAAATCCTTCATCCCACGACGCCACGTCATGGACTGACCACCTCTCCGCCTTTTCCATCCCGTCCCAGGGCTGGCCAGCGAACAGAGACCTGTACGGAAGCCTCTGGGGTGACATTCGGAGCACATGTCCAAGCCACCGGAGCCGGTGTTTCTAGATGACGACATTCAATGAATGGTGATCTCCACTTTGTTCAAACACACGCCGCCGAACCTCAGAATTACTCACGCGATGATGCCATCCATCGAACGCAAGCAATCCTGCGGAGATAGCGGTGATCGAACACGCAGAGTCGCCGCACATCCTCAGCCTACTCGGAGAGGCCAGGTTTCACAGGCGTAGAGCAGCGCAGCCCACACCGAAGCGTTGTATACCCGACCTTTGACAGCCAGGCTAACGTCGCGACGGCGCCATAGGTGGCTCAACTTGATGTATGCCACCCTAGCCTTCATTATACGGTTGGAAATCTCATCCGTCACCCCTCTCTCCGCCAGCACTCACACAACTACCCAGGTACACAAACTTATCAACAACTTCAAGCGGTTCACCCGCAAGAGTGAGTGCAGGTACAGGCTCCTGCCAATCTTGTAACAGTACTTTGCACTTAGACGGCGCAAAGCACATACCATACTTACAGACACTGAGAAGTCATCAGTTGGTTATGTCTTAATAGGCCAACAAGAGAGAGTTAATGGCTGTACCAACTTCTTTTGAATGCATAGTTTAGGTTTAATATTTCGAATACCTATCGCCTCAGCTATGCGCAGTAGACAAATACGAAGTCTATTGGAAAGATTCGGTGGGATACGATGGGTTACTTTGAAAGCTCTCGTTTTCTCCACTACATGACCACTATCAATTAAATGTGATAAAATTGAGCTACGGATTGTATTTGTCTGTCCCTTGCCAAACCACGATGTTGGGAGATGTTCAGTAACACGTTGGCTAAGCTGTCTAGTAGCACGCTCAACATAACTGTCACCGCAGGTGCGGCTGAATTGATAAATGCACATAGATGTGGCAAAACTATCTAGCTATCTATCCTTCGTTTGCGTCCCAATCATCCGTCTGCTGGAGAATGACAAACACAGGTATGCTGCGTAAAACCTTCTCCGTATACTCCTGGAAAATCTCTGGAACAAAATCTCACTTGACAAGTCACCACTAAATCGTAACTTAATAAATAGAGGCTTTTTACGTGCAGTTAGAGTCTCAGGTTTTCTCTCTGATGTTCTCATATATATACATATATGATAGGTTAGAAGTAAGCTAACGTTGCAAAATTATTCATTGGTAACAGAATGGTTAAGATATATATTGAAAAGTGGTGAAAAACAAAACTTTTATCCCACTGAGGCCTATAGAAGACAAATCAAAAAGTAAACAATCACCTATTTATCTGTTTTTGGATTAAAGAACGAAATTCTGTGGACTCTACTTCAAACTGTATCTACAAGTTCACCTGCAGCTGCGGTGACACCTATATAGGTAGAACTAACAGAATGTTCCAATGTCGTCGAAAAGAACATATTCCAAAATGGCTAGTAAACCATATCGAAAATCCCAACGCGATTAATCTTAATAGAAATCCAGCATCATCCATTGCAAAACACTTATTAATGTCTGGTCACAAAATAAATATTAATGACTGTTTCACAATTATTTCACATAACTCTAATTCAAGGTTATTGAAGGTGATGGAAGCACTTTGGATTAATCACATACAGCCTAAACTGTGTGTACAAAAATCAATAGACTTCAATCTTCGCCTACCCTGGACTGCATGACCTATCTTAATATGATTGGTCATTAGTATGTACTTTTGTTTTTATTTAACTGAGTAAATTTCATGAACTTTATTTTATCATTGTTAACCATGTTAGTTGTAAAGCGGTTGTAAAGAAACTACGAAATGATATCATCTCGCGAAATTTGTCTTCTTAATGCCTTGTTCAAACCTATTTATCTGTTTTTGAAAAAAATGTTCACTAGTGAGTCATAGTTAATGGAATACTGTGGTGAGGACTGTCTGCTAGCCAAAATCGGTAGAGAGTCATTTACGCCAACGTGTACGTCCCCAACATTGGTCATGAGAAAAGAACAAGAACAAAGACTGACTCAACAACCACAGAAGAATTTGCGTAGGCGGATACAATTTGCAGATAGCTGATGATCTGAACTTCAAGAAACGGCCACAAACAGATGAAAGATTAACGTTCAGCGAGAAACAACCACCAATCAGAAGCCTGTGTTTGTCTGTTAACAATAATCTATAATAATCTACATGAAAATCGAAAGGTATATCTGTTGATTTACCAAATAAACGATCTTTTGCCTGGTCCTTGTCTTCTGTCGTTACAATACTACCTTAGAACTTTGAGGTGGAGAAAAGACTGCACTGTTAGTACTACAATGAATATTTACTTACTAACGTGAAATATATTCGATTCTAAGATTAACAATCTAAAACCAAGCATCTTGGTCGGCACACAAAAGTAGCGATTGTTGATAGTCCATACAATTAATGCTATTAGATTGTTGGAGGCAATCGGCCAGAGGAAGCCTTTCCCGGACCTAGGTTTCGTGCTATTCGGCACTCATCAGTCAGCAAGACGTATCTGCAACCATGTTGAAGGAACTCATATCCCACCCATCTGAGATTTGAACCCGCGTCACCCAGTGCTGCAGCTATTCGGGCTGGTGATTGACCTCCTGTACGACTGTAGTGGCTATTTTGATTTGACACTAGTAACTAGCTCAATGCAGTACTCACTGGGTGACACGGGTTCCAATCTCCTCAAAAGGGACATGAGTTCCTTCAATGTGGTTGCAGATACGACTTGCTGACTGGCGAGTCCCAACTAGCACGAAACCTAGGTCCAGGGAAGGCTTCCTCTGGCCGACTGCCTCCAACTATCTAATATCATCAAATCAATGTGTACACCGTGATGGTGAGCTACTTAGTGGAATGGTGGCCACACTGGAAACCTGACTGACTGATAGAATCCAGTTCGCACCAAAGAAACGACTAGACACGTCGTCACACTAGTTACTAGTGTCAAATCAAAATATACAATTAATGCATTGTGCAAAATCATGAGTGTGTAATGTGAGAAAATTATATGCATCTAACTCTCCGTTAATTTACAGTGCAATAAAAAATAATTTATAAAAACTCACTGCAAAAACTCAGCAACTAAAGCTTCTAGCATAGGCAAACTATCATCATCGACTCGGACGAATGAAACCATGTCTCGGAGTTTAACTATAAACAGAAAAAAGTTTCAAAAGACAGACATTTTTAGGTTCAATTCACATGAATTGTTGTATGTATGAGCTTGAAAACTATGTACGTATCTGTTATTTGCCGATTAGCGATCTACGAATGTTTCGCATGCGATTCGCTCCCGCCAAATGCAAGATGATGTTACAGAACTGACCGAACTACGCTGACTCCTAGTTTAGAAATAGGAAGTGAAGTGGTAGAGCACGTTGACCACTTCACTTATTTGGGAAGTACCACCAGCCAACGCCAACGGGTTGATCTCTGACGAGATCTCATCACGGATACAGAGAGTTAGTTTCTCATATCCCAGTTTACCCCATCTCTGGCGTAGACGTGATATCCGCCTACCTGTCGACCAAAGGGTGGGTGTACTGCTCATCAGTCCGCTCCGTCCTCCCTTTATGGCTGGCTGTGAGACCTGGCCATTGAGAGTGGAAGACATGAAAAGCCTAGCTAGCTGTCTTCGATCATAGGTGCCTGCGCTCTATCTCCCGTGTGAAGTGGTATAATAAGGTGAGCAATATTGAGGTTAGGCGTCGGTCGAGTGTTAGGTAAGGTGGGAGGGGGAAATCAGTCGACGAGGCTGTGAAGCTACATCGACTGAGATGGTTAGGAAATGTGTTACGCATGCATGCGTAGTCATCCATTGCCTTCCTCGACTACGGGGTAATGTTAGCTGACATAGGGTCAGGCTGGAAAAGAGCTAGCGGCCGTCAAACCAAAACATGGCCCCAGTCAATGAAATCCACAACAATTAGCTTAAGCCAGCCACGTAGGAAGGTGTAGACTGCTGTCTGGTTGGGGTCCTCGGGACGGTATAAACCAATGAAGGCTGGAGACAATTGATGATATGGCTCAAAATCAATGCTTTAAAATGCTTTTTGCAATACTTGCAACAGTCACACCATACTTAGCCATTGTAATAATAACAATTCTATCAACAAACCGTCTAGAAACAGTTAGAATGTATTTTACTTTTAACTTATACCTTTGATAAAGAGAAAATGTACAGCGGAGAGACTCTTTTCGCCGGCGAATTCATTCACATAGCTAGCTGTAAAATCATGATATATATATATATATATATATTGTCGGTGTTGTCTTGCGCATATTTGACATGCATGTCGTCATTATCATTATTATTATTATCATCATCACTATCACTACTATCATTATTTATTTTATTTCTACATTTCCCTACATACTTTCTGACTAATATATCAGGGTAATTATTAAGTTTCAAGGCCTCTCTTATATGTCTCACTTCCTGTCATAGATTTTCCTTGGTACTACTTAGTTTTTGTGCTCTGTTGTCACTTAAACATTTCACCAATCCTATTTTTACTGACATAGGATGGAATGATCGGAAGTCCAAATATCTGTGGGTTTTCTGTAAACACACTAGCGTGTTTAACTTCCCATCTTCTTTTCTTTTTACACTATAATCTAATATTGGCAGTTCCCCTTACTGACTATGCAATTCATCATAAGTCAAATGAATTGCCTCCACCTTTGAGTTAATGTGTTCGAAAAATCTATCTATATCCTCTGTTCTTAGTACAGTGAATGTGTCATCTACATACCTCCACCATACTTTTGGTGTGGCAAATAAGTGTAATAGCAATGATTCAACACCTGTCCACCCAGATATCTGGAAAATTCTATTACCCCAATGACGACAAATAGGAGAGAAAAAAGAACACCATAAATCTCTAGTTTCAAAGTCGTGTGATTATAATTGATGATATGATTATGAACAATAAGTAAATTGTATTCGAAACTTTGTCATCCAGCAGATACTAATACTGTTTCTGTGAATGTGTGACACATCTAATAAGCAAACTAATATGGAATTACTTACTACCACCACAATGCCCAAGTTTTACACATCATAAAGAAGGGAACATTAAGACTTACCAAACAACCTCAACAAGTGAATTGACCCATAAATGTCTGACATTCTCTTGCCTGTATGCTGTTTCAATAGCTTAGCGTATTGTAATCTCTCGAATTTGTATAAAAGATGAGAACCAATAGTATGATTGAAAAGATACTGAATTCCAGCAACAAATTCACGCCGTACACCAGGGTCTATTAGTACGTTAGTGCTCAGTTGAGTGTTCTCAGATTCAGAAGAAGTATAGTTGTTTATTTCACGAGTTGATTCCGATTTAATCATTTCCGCCTCAGAACTTTCTAAGAAATCTGATAAAATATTACATATTGGCTGAGAAGCAGGCAGTTCATAAAGCTGTGAAAATTTAACCGAAGAATAAAAATTCAGGAAACAAAAAGAAAAATATGAAGTGAGATTTACTCTATAACAGTAGTAGTGAAGCAAAGATAAGCTGTTCAGATCTGTGTCGCTGTCAAGGTTGTCGCAATACCGAGGATAGCGTAGAGAGGCGCTCCCTTATGCGTTTGGCTGCAATGGGAGTCTTGAGGTCAAGACAGCCTTCTTCCTTCAAAAAACACTTACTAAAACCTGTATCGGAAACGTTGCCGCACGTATTCTTCACTTGGGAAGTGATTGAGGCAACAGCTACTTGTATAATGGCCCAGGCTGAAGAAATAGATCGTCGTGATGTACCTCCAGCGGCAAATGAGCGAATACTTCTGGAAGAATTTGGACGCCTTATTGATCGTGTGGTGGAAGCGTCTGTCAAAGTTCATATACATCCATCGAGTGGCATCCACACCTCGGCTTCGATCGACGAGTACATAACAGAGACAAAGGAATAGTAATAACGAAGAACGATATAGTTTCATCATAAGTCAGAAGGAGTGGATGCATCTGCGCTAGCCATCACCGAGAACGATTTTGAGCCATATCATCAATTGTCTCCAGCCTTCATTGGTTTATACCGTCCCGAGGACCCCAACCAGACAGCAGTCTACACCTTCCTACGTGGCTGGCTTAAGCTAATTGTTGTGGATTTCATTGACTGGGGCCATGTTTTGGTTTGACGGCCGCTAGCTCTTTTCCAGCCTGACCCTATGTCAGCTAACATTACCCCGTAGTCGAGGAAGGCAATGGATGACTACGCATGCATGCGTAACACATTTCCTAACCATCTCAGTCGATGTAGCTTCACAGCCTCGTCGATTGATTTCCCGCTCCCACCTTACCTAGCACTCGACCGACGCCTAACCTCAATATTGCTCACCTTATTATACCACTTCACACGGGAGATAGAGCGCAGGCACCTATGATCGAAGACAGCTAGCTAGGCTTTTCATGTCTTCCACTCTCAATGGCCAGGTCTCACAGCCAGCCATAAAGGGAGGACGGAGCGGACTGATGAGCAGTACACCCACCCTTTGGTCGACAGGTAGGCGGATATCACGTCTACGCCAGAGATGGGGTAAACTGGGATATGAGAAACTAACTCTCTGTATCCGTGATGAGATCTCGTCAGAGATCAACCCGTTGGCGTTGGCTGGTGGTACTTCCCAAATAAGTGAAGTGGTCAACGTGCTCTACCACTTCACTCCCTATTTCTAAACTAGGAGTCAGCGTAGTCCGGTCAGTTCTGTAACATCATCTTGCATTTGGCGGGAGCGAATCGCATGCCAATCATTCAAAGACTGCAGCTCAAGGCGTTCAGAAGACTGCATTTTGTCAGCGTCCTCGCCTAGAAGGACTATATCGTCTGCATATTCTAAGTCAACGAGATTGTTCCCTGGTAGCGAGTCAATCCCTGAGTCTCTAAAGTGAGTTAGGTTTAAGTCAATTAGTACATCTATGATGAAATTGAATAAAAGTGGGGATAGTGGGCATCACTGATGGACACCACTAATCGTCACCACTTCAGGTGACAACTCATCGTAAGCCCTCACCTGGCTGACTGCATGAGTTCGAGTAGAGTGCCTTTATGAGTGCAATGTATTTTCTCGGAATTCCCTTTACAGCAACGCAACGCTAAAGTACCTCTCATTCGACAGAATCGAATTCCGCCTTCAGGTCAAGAAATATAGCGATTGTTGGACGCCGCCGGTAAGAATGCCTATGTTCTAGAATCTGTCGGAGGGTGAAGATATGATCAATACACCCTCTCCCTGGTCTAAAGCCTGCCTGGCTCCCTCGTGTTTGTGCCTCCTGAGCACCACTTAGTCTACGCATGATTATTGAGCCTAGAACTTATATTAGGACTATATTAGTCAAGCTAATCCTTCTGCGATTATCACAGGAAGACTTGTTTCCCTTCTTGTATATGGGGATAATCAGTGACTTACACCAACCTGACGGGACTTTCTCTGATTCCCAGACGCTGCCTTAGTACCTCAGTTAATCCAGACAGTAAACTTTCTCCACCGTACTTAAATACCTCTGGAGTCATTCCATCAGGTCCTGCTGCTTTGCCTTGTTTCAGACTAGTGACAGCTTTAGTTACCTCAGTTAAGGACGGAGGGCCTGTGCCTATATCCCATTCAGGAAGGTGTTGGATAGTCGGCAGGTTGAGCGTGGCTGTAGCCCAATTAGACTGCTCCGCATAGTGTTCTTTCTAGCGTTCTAGTCGTCAATCAGATTGTTTCACTTATCATTTGCCTTTTACCACCTGTTTCCCTGATAAGCCTAAACAGTTGTCTGGTGTTACCGATTGCCGATACCTTTTCCATCTCTTTTGCTTTTGTCGCCCGCCACTGTTCACGGTCATTGCGAAGACTTCGTGTTAGTTTTTGTTTGAGTAGCTTTCGCTCCTCATCATAAACGGAGCTCGCCAGAATCAGTCTTCTTGCGTCAATCAGTTCGGATGAGGCAGCAGATATCCAATGGCTCTTACTAACTTTTGGTTTTAGCTTATTAACAGCTTTGACCGCTGTGTCTACAGCTAACCGTATGTTGTGCCAGGCCACATCAGGGGAAGTCCTGCTGTCGACCTCAGATACTCGTTTCGCTATTTCTTCCTTAAATAGGGACTCAGTGTCTCGATCTAGTTGGGGACGTAACTGTTTCGCTGACGTCAATTTTTTATGTCCGTTTAGTCGTAAGCATAAACGTCCGCGAACCAGAGCGTGATCAGAGTCTACACACGTGTCCCAGAAGGAGTGGCAGTCTCCTACTGACCCTCGACAACGATACCTTATCACTATGTGGTCTATCTGATTCCAAAGTTGATTTGGTGATGGGGGTCGCCAGCTTACACAATGTCTCTCTTTGTGCCTAAAGTTTGTGCTGACTAGGAACAGATGATTATCTGACAAAAACTGTAGAAGACGATCACTGTTGTCGGTCCGTCGGCAGGGAACTTCATACGTACCACCTACATACTTCTCAGTCTGGAACAACTTCCCTACTTCGGCACTTAAGTCGCCTGCTAAAACAACTATGTCTAAACGTTTTGCTTTTCGCAGGAAATTAGACAGTTTCAGGTAGAAATCATCCTTTAGTTTATCCGAACTGCAGTCTATCGGGGCGTAGGCGGAGACTACGAAAAGGCAACGACGGGTAGCACCGTCTTTCCCTCTTTTAACGGACCCATTCAGACGGATCGCACACATACGACTATCTACTGGGATCCAGTCAAGAAGTGATTTTTCCGCCCTAACACTCAGTGCTATCCTTAACCCCTGCGAGTTCTCGCGAGCTAGCTGAGGGGTAAGGACTAAAGGACAGAATATTGATCAACGGATTATATGTCACATTATGATGTTTATGTTAGCCGGAGATGAAATGTCCTTCTTAACGCGTTTATATTCATATTTTCTGACATCACTTTGCTTTATATATATATATATATATATGGACAACCAGAGAGAGCTTTTGAGTTATGCCACTTCAACATATCAATGAAATTTCTTGCATAACTTTGAAGTCTATGTGCAGGTTTTACACAAGTGTGTATTACTTGAAGAAAAACCCACAACACTGACCTGTTGTGTTGTTTGATAACAAAATAGATTCAGAAAATCGCTAATTCTTAGGCGATAACTGTGAACACTTAATGTGCATCTCACACTCTGTATTGTGTGAGGAAAATTGATAGACACCCCCCCCCCCGCTCACCTTTGGTAATGAATGAGTTACTGAAGGTAGAGAATCTGTATATATCTTTGAATAAGTCACTTAGAAGACAAATTTCGCGAGATGATATCAGAAAAGACACCTTCTGTACCAAAGAAAGTTATCTTTATTAACCTAGCATTCAAGGGTGACCACATTATGCAGTTGTGTTACAGCTAGCTCAAAGACTTCGGTCAACCATCAAACGCACATTCTACGCCGAATCTCCTCTTCTCACATGCCGAACATTTTCGATCCCTTTACCTACGATTAAAGGATGAAATTCTGTGGACTCTACTTCAAACTGTATCTACAAGTTCACTTGCAGCTGCGGTGACACCTATATAGGTAAAACCAATAGAATGTGCCAATATCGTCGAAAAGAACGTGTTCCAAAATGGTTACTAAAACACATAGATAATCCCAATGCAATTAATCTAAGTAGAAGTCCAGCATCAACCATCGATTGCAAAACACTTATTAATGTCAGGTCACAAAATCAATCAATATTATTGACTGTTTCACAATTATTTCACCACAAAACTCTATTTCAAGGTTGGTTATTGAAGGTGATGGAAGCACCTTGGAGAATTAATCACATACAGCCTAAACTGTGTGTACAAAAAGCAATAGACTTCAATCTTCGCCTACCATGGACTGACTACTTGACCTATTAAAATATCATTGATCATTAGCATGGCATGTACTACTTTTGTTTTTTATATAACTGAGTAATTGTCATGATTTTTACGAGTTGATCACGGATTGATATCAGTTAGAGAAGCATTGAAAACCAGGGAGTACTGGACAGCGGCTGTTTCATCCTAGTTTGGGAATCATCGGCAGAACGCACCCCGGGTTCTGGGCTCGAATCCCACTGGGTGCGTACTGCCGATGATCCTCAAACTAGGATGAAACAGCAGCTGTCTAGTACTCCCTGGTTTACAGTGCTTCTCTAACTGATATCAATCCGTGATCAACTCGTAAAAATATGAACTTTATTTTATTTTAATGTTATTGTTAACCATGTTAGTTGTGTAAAGCGGTTGTAAAGAAACTACGAAATGACGATATCATCTCGCGGCGAAATTTGTCTCCTTAATGCCTCATCCAAATGATAACTTATTGTTCGTTATGGACGTCATCACAGGATTTTGAAACTTAGGCAGATTTCCCGCTTGAAATTCAAGCCTTTATGACGTCGTTAAGGTAGTTAGAATATCTAGAATAACATACATCAGTTAGTGTTTACAATAAAATTGCCAGTATATCATGTCAGGTGTTCATAAAGTGTGAAATCTGGAGTGAAGTATGATGATTCAGGTCATTGAGGCTTTTTACGAATTGATCACAGATTGACATCAATGAGGAGTTAGAGAAGCATTGAAAACCAGCCGCAGGAAGTACTGGGAAGCTGTTTCATCAGCCTAATTTGGGAATCACAGGCAGCACGCACCCACTGCAACTGGATTCGTAGTTTCAACTCATCGAAGTGCAACAATGAGCAAACACTCAGGGTGAGACCATTCCTGATCACCCGGAACCCGGGGCTAGGGTACATACTGTAACATCCAAGTGACTAAATTGGTCACTAAATTAACAAATTACGACCAATGCTCAAACATTGGAAATTGCTTTGCTGATAACTGGATGATAATGCAACTGAATATTACTACTTACCCGAGCTTGTTGAGTAATCAAATCCCAGTCATCTGTAAGCCAAGATTTCAAGCATGGAGGCAGTGAAATCGACAAACGCGGCTGAGAGAGAAGGCCATCTTCCTGATATGAAAAACAGTGAAATATAACAGTAAAGTTGAGAGTATGAACACTTACATACCTAACTACATATAAATACAAACTATTCAATTAAGCAGAGGGACATTTAACGTACAAGTAAACACGAGCATATTTACATCCTGAAATAGGTGAACATGCAATAGTTAGTATCTAACTACCAGCCTGTAAGTCTGACCCGGATTATAGCAAAGGTATCAGAAACAACCATAAGGGATCAGCTCTTAGCTCATATGCAGAAACATGGCTTACTGGAGGCGGAACAGCATGGATTCCGACCAGTACAATCCTGTCTCACAAATCCACTATTAGCTAGGGAAGATAGCGTCTAAGTCATGGATAAGAACCATCTTTTAGATGTTGTCTTCAACGGTCGTAGTAAAGCATTTGACAAGGTAATCCCATTTACATCACCTCAGTAAACTAAAAGTTTTTGGAATAAACCAACACGCCTATGCCAGTGGTTTGAGGACTACCTGAGGGATAGAAGGCAGAAGGTGAGAGTTAGTGGTTTACTGTGAGGGTGAAAAGCAGTACTAAGTGGAGTATCTCAGGTGACTGTGCTTGGCCTCCTGCTATTCATACTATTCGTAAATGAACTACCGAAAATTCTTAAATCTTTATTATTTGAGGACGATATTAAGATGTGGGAAGCTGTAAATAATAACAATGACAGGTTGGCATTACACAACGATCTGGATAAATTAGCTGGAAATTAATTCCAAGAAAAGTGCGGTAATGCACCTAGGTCAGAGGTCTTACACATCGTACCCTCTGGGGGACAAAGAACTGCCAGATGTTAAGGGACAAAAGGACTTAGGAATTATTGTAAGCCATGACGCAAAAACAACCGCAAATTGTAATCGAGCCGCAGCTAAGACTAGAATGCTATAAGTACTTTGAAGGGCTTTAAAACGATTAAACGAGTCTTTGTTCTAAGTACTCTATGCAACATATGTCACGCCTCAACTAGAATACTGCATACAAGCGGTGAGTTCATGCTTCAAAAAGGAGGCACATATCCTAGAAAGAATACAGAGGGTAGGGACCAAATTAATTAGTGGTACCTCACACCTTCCTTATGACAAGAGGATGGAGCATTTAAGTCTCTTTCCATTATCATACCGAAGAAGGAGGAGAGGTGACTTAATTTCGGCACACCGTACATTAAACGATGATTTAGAAATTCATCTTTCACGACAAATAGTTGCTCAGACCTAGGTCGAATAAAATACATCTACAATTTAATTTAGATTCTCTCACAGAATCCTCAACAATTGGAACTCCTTACCTGATTCAGTAGTAACACCTCCATCGGTGAACGCTTTCGAAGAGATTAGATCTCTGCAGAGATATATACTGCAAGGATTAACACAGACTACAAGAGCTTTCTATCTTTATTATCTTGATTTGAAACATAAGTCTAGCTCAAAGAAACACTCAGTTTCATGAACAACTTTCTGAGAGGAAAGAAACCAGAGGGCAGTTAACAAAGTGAATTTCTTAGCAGGAGTGAACATACAGAAAATTAATGACGACGATCTCCACGACTAGTGGTCACAGTGTTAAAATACGTTTTGAATGAGCTACATAACACAAATGTCGACTTAAAATTGTCGTTTGACACAACGCTGCTACTCTATTATCTCCGAAAAAAAGGAATTTTTGTGTCTCACAAAATGAATCACAATACCAAAGCACAAACTATCTCGGTAAAACAAAATTAAATCGGACAGAATGAAAAAATTGTAACACAAAAGCACGATATACTTGCATTTTCAAGAGACTTTAGCACTGATGACACCCGGCTTTTCTTCTCCTACTTGTTACTGTGACAGGTGGAGTAGACGATGCGTTCGAATCTTCACAACACTTAATGGGTGGTTTAGTATCTTCAGTCTTTTTCACATCAACACGGACACGAGCATCAATTTTCCGGCTGGTGTTTAAATTCTTGGCCTTAGGAGCGCCTTCCTCTACAGCGGAACTTAGTATAACCGGGTAATATCTCACCTTCTTTCACTTGACCAGGCTTCAGTGTCCGTTCAACGTCCTCCAAGACTTCTGGAGGTGGCAATGACTGTGACTTTAATTCAGACTTTCTTAAAACTTTAACCTTCCCGGATTTCCTGAAAATTACAAGAAGCATCGTGATCAGAAACATTGCTTTACACAAGTTACATCTGTCGCTCTAATTCTTGTTTTTTTGTCAAGCCCTCTTCATTATACTTGAACATTCGTTTTTCAGTCACCCATTCATCCCAGCTATATTAAACCGTAAATTATTACTGAAATATTATTACCTCTTATTCCAACCTAGGTAATGCACATAATATACTACACCATCTTCTTTCACTTTAACGTCTAAGCATTTCGCCTCATACATAAGAGGCCCATGGAAACAAAGTAATTTTTCGCCTTGATGTACGTGATTCTATATAAGAAAACAGTAAGAATCTTACCTTTTTCATATTTCGGATTTAAATCCAAGCTACTCATGGTGACGCAAAATCAATACACGCTCTCTAATGTCCAATATCTAATATCGTTCTTACCAGCTAGTATAAACCAATTCAATTTCTTTGTGCTCGCCTCTTAATTGTGAAGCATAGGTTCCTGATCTTCGGTAAACTTCTCCGTAGCTCGTCCCGCCACTCGACTTTCGTAACTTTGGTTGACTCCAAAAGGAGTAGTACTGGAATTAATTATATGTGGTTTGTAGCATGAGGTGTGTCAAGACTGTTACTACTGTGAATGGAGTTGATCCTTTCACCAGTTAGTCCTCCGGTATCGTTGTCAAAAGAAAAGAGACAATAATAATAAGTGTAGTTAAAGTTGTCAGGAGAGTCAGACGAGAGAGAATGTAAAGAAGTAAAACGACGAACTTAGTTGTCTACCGTTGAATGGTGTATGGGATTTTAAGGGGATAGGTCATTTCGACGCAGTTCTTGTGTCACCGCATGATTTTCCAGCCTTCGCTTAAAGGCATCCACAGACGTTGCCATAGCTACATCTGCCGGTAAGGAATTCCAGGGATGACAAACCCGCAGTGAAAAGAAGTGGGAGCGCACCCGGGTCCTTACCCTCTGGTGAGCTATCCTTCTGGAGTTTCCACGATGAAGCCAATACCTACTTAATGGCAGGACACCTTTGTTTGGGTGATTCCGGTCATTTGTCATTTTGTAGGCAGTGATTAAATCCCCCTAATCCGATGGTGGGTAAGTGTGAATAAGCCTAAGTTCTTTAGCCTTTCATCTGTAGCGGTGAATAATTCCCCAAAATTATTGACCACAGGAATCATCAGCGAACATCGGATGCTGACCCTTAGCGTTTGAGTCGACTTGTTTAGCTGAAGGCTTCTGATCAAGCATCCTCGCCATTTGCTACTCCGTCGTGACACTTTCGTGCGCGATCACTAGCCAGCTTAGCTTCCGCTTCAGTCCACGATTTGGTCCCAAATATATCTCGTAGTTTGGAAGATCAACTCTGGTCTTTTGCTTTGCCTTCGGTACACGAGAAACGAACACTATACTATAGAAGTTGTTGGTATAAGATCTTGCGTTAGTATACTCCGTACAATTCGCGAACGTCAATACCGTCAACCTCTAAACATCATATTGTTTATTTCGGAGACCAACCACCCCTCTTGTTTCCCCTTCTTCGTATTCTTTCCCAGAAGTTGGTGACTCTTCTAAACATTGGGGGTACAATAATATTATGCACTTCAAAGTATGGTATGACGTATGTTTTGTACAACCGTAGAAAGAGCTCAGGAGTGAGTGCACCTAACTGTCTATGCGTAAAGTGTATGACCGCTTGTGTCCACTTTTCCGTTAGAACTAGACTTAAGTCGCGTTCCGACGTTGTGTAGGACAAGCTTTTATTGCACAGGTGTAACTTGCATTCTACAGTCTACAGGTGCGCAACTTCACTACTTTGCACTTTTCAGGTTGAAATTCATGACGCTGGGCACCGCCCAGTCTTCCAGAAGCTTTAGATCTGCTAATAGTCTATCTGAGTCCTCCGGACACTTTATCGCCCTCCATATCTTTGCGTCGTCAGCGTGTAGAAGGGTTGGATAGCTTAGACGGTATAGTAGATCATTGACAAAGGTCGAAAACATCAGTGGTCCTAGGATAGACCCCAGTGACACTCCTGATGACGAGCTGTGTCAAGATGATTTGACCCGATTGACCTCAGTGCAAAATTGCCTTTCAGCCAGACAGTCCTTTAACCATGACAGAAGTGGCTCACCTATACCTACCTGGCTCATTTTGTGTAGGAGAAGGTCATGGTGAACGGTGTCAAACGCCTTCTCAATGTCTAGAAATACCACATGGACTGGAACATTCATATCCCAGTATGATATCCAATCGTCCCAAGCTGATAGTAGGTCTGTTGCGCAGAATCTGCCTGTCCTGAAACCATGTAGGGCTTCATGGAGTATAATAGATCTATCGAGGTATTCCATGATGTGATCGTCGATAATACTTTCCAGTACTTTTGATACCACTGGGAGTAGAGCTACTGGTCTTTGACTAGTGCGTCGGTGGCACAGTGGTTAGGACTCTCGACGACCATGCACATGGTCCGGGGTTCGAGCCCACACCGGTGCACACCAGATATCTATGGTCGGCCTCCGAAATTTGGGCTGCCGATATCCACGCTGAAAATTCCATACTAGTACCAAAAATACAGTGTGGAATCAAGCTGTAACCAAAATTAAAAAATAAATAAAATAGTGGCATTTTGCCTATCCCCACCCTTGAAGATAGGAGGAAGGACGGCTGTTTTTCACTCCCCTATCAGTTTCTCCGAATCCATTCAGTGTTGGAACAGGTCGCATAAGGGCCTACAGAGAGCTTCGGCGTACTGTTTCAGAACAGATGGCCTGACGTCGTCACAACCTGAGGACTTCCCAGGTATGAGTCGCTGTAGTTCCCTTAGTACTATTTCCGGGTTCATTTGGGGAGTAGCCACTAGGT